AGCGTTAACGAGCAAGCGATATGCCATCTAGAAGCGATTTTCTTAATCGCAATATAATGACAGCGATCATAATGAAGATGAACGTAGCAATTCACCGCGCCTCGTTACCATCATCATGCATTATATGCTGCTGAGTTCTAACCCATCATTAAAATCACTCTAACTGAATATCAATTTTAATTACATCTTGTTTACTTTTGCTTAAAGTCATTCATACTGAAATTAAAAACAACAATAAACTGAAACTGATTACATGAAATGGAAGATAGCGCTTCCGGTCAATTTGTATGATCTTGCCGCATTTGAGATTATTTTATTCACACTGTATCTTGCCAGCTGTGTTGACATGATGGTGGATTAATGATTCAGAATAACGACAAAATTTTATAGTGGGCGATTTTTCAAGTAAATGAGGGAATTTGTAATCCTGAATGGATGATAGTCAACAATATGAGTGGATTCTCAGAATGCTTATAATTGAATTCAAAGCATTCATCAGTTCCCAGTAGAATGCAATCCTCCTCAGCATATCGCTCAACTAATAGTAAATGTTAATTTTTTCTTCAGGTGTTCAGTTGTCCAGCAAATTTGGCCTCACATCGCCGTTGGCATAAACCAAAAGATTTACTGGAAGTGTTCGAATGTGCCAAGTGCTCGATGAGTTTCGAAACAAAAAAATCCTTACGAGTCCACAACGTGCAATGTTCATCCAGAACATCCCCTGCGCAGTCGTTATCTTCACTTTTACAGCTGAATCTCGTNATACATCTCGATCAACTCTTCTTCACATGCATTGCTCGATAGATTATTGAATTTATGATGAATTATGTCGTTGTTTCGTGTTGTTTTGCTAAGCCATCGTCATGATATACCAAATTAATCTTCACTAAACTTTCATATGAGTTCAATGGAAGAAATATTTGGAACGACTTGTTCATGCGTTTCGTTCACATTTACTAATCCATTGTTTTGCTGTGATATTTTCACAACAATTAGAAATCATGCAAAGAAAATTGATAATTTTTGAGCGTTAAATCAATGAATTGTCTTTAGTAATTCTGTTCACTCACTCTTGCATTGAATTGTTGCATTGATCTCATTATCTTTTCTGTATTGTGACATTATTTTACTTCCGTGTTGTTAATGTGAGTCTACTTTTTGCTGTGTTTTCTTGTATTTGATCGAAAAGGCCCGCACCCGACAAGATTGATCCGCAACAAGTTTTGATGAATTAAGTTCATTGAAATAATTTAACCTCTGATAATAGAATCTTCGTTTGAGAAATCAAACACCCCAGTCAAGCAATACAGCTGTTTCTTTAAA